ATGCTTTCTGTAAGTATAAAATACAAAGGAAAAAAACAGCAATATGTATATATATATTGCTTGTTATATATGATGCTCCTCCTTTCAGAAAAATATAACATGTAAACAGGAAAAACATATTGCTGTTTTTTTCCTTTGTATTTTATACTTACAGAAAGCATTGAATAAAAATGGATAAATACTTGCACTTTAGATATATTAAGAAAAATAAAAAATCTGCATATTATTTTTGATAGGGATCTCACATTCAAAGAGTATAAATTACAGGCTTTGTGACTATTGCTGGACAGAGATGTATTGAGTTCTACTTATTGAAGTATATTTTGTCTGTGTGTCAGAAGGTTTACTAAAGTAAATTGCATGATAAAGTAGTGCTACACCGATATTGTTCTTTTTTTAGTTGGTAAAAATGTCTGAAAACTGTGATAACAACCCTCTTGTATCATGTTTATCCTCTCCTCACCCCGTCTAGAATATTTCTTACTGAGATATGGCCTTTCCTGACTACATGACGATGGTGCTTACTTTGGCTTTGACATCAAGCTCATCCTATACATCTCAACATCATAACTCGCGTCCTTACACTTCATTACTTTCTGTTATGTACTATCACTACCTTATTAAATTTCCGTTGATGGCAAAAAAAGAAAAGAAAAAGGTGTGCTGTTTTGTACATTGCTGTTTGTTTTAATGTTGGGGGAGTCTTGTTGTCTGAAAAATGACTAATCGCGCAATAAAGTCATTCCACACGTCCCTGTCTCTGCACAACTGTCTCAACACTACAGAAAATGAAAAGAAACGTGGAAATATCCATTAAATATTAAAATAGTTATTCATATCTGTATGCTAATTAACACTGTTTTGATACATGCAGTATATGGGGAAGTATTCCTGACGTGACCACGGCATCTCTACTTCCTAAATACACTACGTCACGATGGGGTTTCATCGCCAAAGGCACTTCACGTTTCACTTCATTGTGCACCATGTAATACATTTATTTTTCACTCCGCATGAAGTCTCTGCTGATGAATCTTTTATCTGCCAGGTGAGGAGTTTTTTCAGTCTGAAGGTCGTTGCACCAAAAGCAATAAAACGGATTGCACCTCGCATTAAACTCAGCTCTTCAGTCATTTGTGAACCAAACAAAATGAGGCTTTTCACACAGTATATCCTGGGCTACGAGTGGACCCTGGCATGACAGCCCCATTCAACCCAGGTTTAAGCTAAGCCCAGGACTATGTGATCCACACTGCACTTCTACAAGACTAATGTTTATCTTCTAGAATGAGGCGTGACTACTCTTTAATAGATTCGACAACAAAAACGTGACGTAAAAAAATCCAGTTTACTTAAGCCCCGCTTCACACTGGCAACTTTAAGCCCCGTGTTTAGTGGATTTTTAGGGGATAACTCCGCAAACTCGAGGCCCGTGTAGCAGGGCCAACAGCTAAAGTCGGGGTTAGGGTGAAGAGCTCTTAGTTGGTAGCTGAGTGCAATGTGATGAACAGTGGAAGCAGTAAGAACAAATGGGGCTAAGCTTGTGATATAGTAACCATAACATAATTAGATTATTCATATTATGAAGTAGACACTGCTTAATAAATAAAAAAGTTTCAAGCAGTGACTTGTCTGACACATAACAGGTATTAGCATAGCGGTGGAAGGAATCTATTTCATTTGAGAAGTACAGTCCTTCCTTTTTGAACTGTGTGGTCTTTTTGCAGTCTGTGCCACGTCAAACTGATGCAATTACAGCCGAAGGGTTGCTGGATGACGGCATATTAGACTTGAGTACATTCTGGTCGTATCTACTGGCTCAGTGTTTGTGCTCTGTTTTAAGCTTTAAAGGGCTCAAGGAGCAAACATACTGCACTCGCCTTTAAACACACAGTAGATAGATAGATAGATAGATAGATAGATAGATAGATAGATACTTTATTCATCCCGCAGGGGGAAATTTGTTCGCTACAGCAGCAAAAAATATACTAAGCAATCAAAGTTGGTTAATGTAACTAGCTAGCTGGCAAACTAGCTTACAATGTATTGGTGTCAGAGGTCTCAGAGAGAGTTATTGTAATTGAAAGAAAATAAGACCCAAAATAACCTTTTGAAAAAAATGCATTTAGATAAAGACTTTTTGTGGATAAGACACGCTTTGAATAAAATAGCATTTTAATAGAAAGCTCGCATGAACCACATAATGCATCTTTCTTTGGCAGACAAAAACAGCCATGTTACAGCAGGACAACCACAGGTGTTACTAATTAATCAATGAGCACTACATTTCATTTAACTAGCTTACGCTATTAAACTAGCTTCCACTCATTTAGTCACAATGGCCCTTTGGGACACTAAATATCTTCCGGGAGAATAAAAAATAAAAAAACGTCTCGAGACTAACCCTGTTCCTGACTGTTACGTCACCTACTACGGCAGGGTGTAAGGTTCAAAATGGCTGTCTTTTTTTTTGGACAAAGTTAAACACTTAAACCAATTGTTTCAATGTAATAGGATAAAGTACACATTTTACTTTTGTGTGGAGTTTCTTCTCTCTGTTGTTCAGTCACACAGTCTGCCAGTAGTTTCAGGAACAGAGAGACATTCCTCTGGCTCATCTTTTGGACCTTCTTTTACAGCTGCTCATCTTCTAATGTGACAATCAGTGGCACCATATTTGTTACCTGTTACACTTGTTTTTGAACTTGACGTTTTGAAGTTAGAAATGACAACATCGCGGCGAAATTCCCAACAGCCAGCAAAGCAAGCCAAACTTTTGCAGGTTAAAGTGGGCTCACGAAACGAACTAGCTAGCCTAGCAACATTAACATCTCTTAAAGTAACAGGTGTACTATGTAGCACAGCTGAGCAGGTACTATGAGAATATGCTGGAAATAAATATATATATCTTCTTATATAATCAAACATTTTACCTGGTCTGTTTTTTCCCGAAAATAATTACCAGAAAACAAAGTATTAATATGCCAACATGGTATTGTGCTAGTCTTGGTTTGGACAGGTTCACACAGACAGCTAATAATATAATATAATATAATATAATATAATACAGTAACTATATCATATTAATATTGCTGTTATCTTAATATATATATAT